GCTCTCAGCAGCCCCTTACAGGAGAGCAAAGGTCAAATCAAAACAGCGACCACAGAAAATTCTTCATTTTGGCCTTTAAAGAAGTGGGAAACTGTATTTCAGCGCAGGTCTAAAATATCCTGTCATTGAAACTCTGCCAGTCTTCTTACCTGTGAGGGAGATTTGCAGAAAGACGTAAAGGATGCAGCAGATCATGGTGGGACAGACGCTGCAGGCTTGCAGTGACCCCCCCACTCCACACGTCTCTTTTTATAACACGCCTCCCACAACAGAAACTTTGTGGTCAGAAGTTTCTGCACGGATATCACACCTTTGTCTGCACCGCTGCACGTAACAGGTGGTGGTGCATCACACACCTCCAATCATTTACCAGCAGAACATTATTTCTGTTTTCAGGATGATACAAAGAGCCTGGAAGAAACTGCTGTTGTGATTTGTTACTATGTAAATATGACTGAACTGAATGAAATGCTACCTGATGCCCCCTGACACACACATTTTCTACTCTTGTGCTACTTGGGTGGCGCTAAATAACTGGATGGAAATGTGTATGTAGGTCATGTTAACCACAGTGCACACAAAGGTGATCACACCTCTCACCATGAGCCTTACACACTCCAAAGCTTGCTCAAATAAAATGTTACAGTTCTGAGAAGCTAGTGTATACTTTAAAGTTTTTAAATGAAACAACTTACTGAAGAATTTTACTGAGCTTGGTGACCTAAGAGGTGATTGCTTGATGTCTTTGCAGGTCTATTTCCTATTTTCTTTCCAGGCCTGTTTAACATGTAAGTGATCAATCATTTGACCTCATGTTTGTGCAGCTTTGGCTGCATTTTAACTTTTTCTCCTCGGTGCAACGAGGACCAAGATGAGCGCTGTCAGAGCTACAAACCAGGTGAGCTCCAAAGGAAAAGTAATAGTGATCAGCAAACCTGATTGGTCAGGATATATTCAAACTGGAGTGTTTTTTTCTAATGTTTGCTCGACGTTAGTGAGTGAGACTGGGCGGTTGCTGGTAGAGGTGTGAGGTGTGTCTGCATGTTGAGTTTATGGTGTTTCTGATGTCTTTGTGTTGTAATGGTCTAGTTTTTTGTACGTACTTTTTAGTTTAGTTGTGTTTTTTCCTTCTAAGTTACTCCCAGCCCAGGTTTCCTGTCCTGTGTCGCATCCTTGCGTCTCGTCTCTCTTTCCTGTTTACACTGCCCCTCCTCGTGTATTGTGCTGTCATATATGATCCCTTCCACCCTCCCTATTCACCTTTATGTCCTTATATTGTCTCAGTTTTCCTCTGTCCTCACTCAGGCGTCGTGTTTGTGCTTCCCTGTGTTCTGTGTGTTCCTATTATGATGTTTTGTGAAGCTTTTATTGAAAAATGGTTCATTACTCAAAGCTTTCCAACACAGTCCTCTCTGCTGACCTCTGCTGGACAAAAATATGAAGAGCAGTTTGAATCTACAGCTTATAATGAGCTGCTTTGTCATGATTGGCTGCTCTGCAGAGCTTCTGGCTGATGTGATGCTTTGATCTGTTGTTTTGGGTGAAAACATGACGTTCTGTCTGTTTTGATATAAATAATCTAGATAAATAATCTAGATCCGTGCAGAAACTTCTGACCACCTCGTTTAAACATGTCCCGTGGTCTGGTCTCCTTTTGCGTGTGACTTCTTGATGTTTTTTATTAATAAAAATAAAAAACATACTATATATAACAATTAGGGGTGCAACGATACTCATATC